GGAGCCGGGAAGTCTGTAGATCCCTCCTGAAGGACCATTCACATCCCCTTCCAGCCCCAACATCTTTTCCTTCCCCGCAGTACAACACCATCCTGAGCAACATGGACAAAATCTACTCCACGGCCAAGGTGTGCCTGGCCAACGGTACCTGCTGGGAGCTGGAGCCAGGTACGGTCCTTGTCCCTCTGCCTCTGTGGGGTGCTGAGCACCCCATGGCCATGAGTTTATCCTGGTCCCCACATCCCCAGCGGGCTGGGGTTGGCAGGTCCCACCCATGTTCTTCAGGGTTGTCCTGGGGGGAGGATGGGTATTCGGGTCTGGTGCAATTGTGGTGGCACCTCCGCAGAGCTACTGTAGGATGTGACACCCCACCCTCCTGCCCCTCTCTCATGTCCTACTTCTCCCCTCTGTCCCAGACATCTCGGACATCATGGCCACCTCTCGCAGCTACAAGAAGCTGCTCTATGCCTGGGAGGGGTGGCACAATGCTGCGGGCAACCCACTGCGCGCCAAGTATGAGGAGTTCGTGAAGCTGAGCAACGAAGCCTATCAGATGGATGGTACAAGCAGGATGGGGGATGCAGGGGGTGGTCAGGGATCGGGGTGGGAACTGGGGCCAGGGTCCTGCTGCTCTCCCCATCCCACATGCAGCCAGGCATCCAACTTCCATTTCCCTGGTGCAAACAGGGAAGGGACAAAAATCCTACTGCTGTTCCCTGGTCCCAGCTGTTGGGGCTGGGTGGGGGGCAGCCCCGGGGGCTGGAGCCAGAGGTCATCACTGCCTCTCTGGCAGGATTCAAGGACACAGGCAGCTATTGGCGCTCCTGGTACGACTCAGCCTCTTTCGAGGATGACCTGGAGCATCTCTACAACCAGCTGGAGCCGCTCTACCTCAACCTGCACGCCTTCGTCCGGAGGAAGCTGTACAACCGCTATGGCCCCAAATACATCAACCTGAAGGGTCCCATCCCTGCTCACCTCCTGGGTAAGAGGAGGGACCCCCTCCAGCCTGTGCCCAGGGGTGCTGGTGGGGCCAGAGGGGCACACGCAGGGCCGTAGTGGGACAGGGAGGTCCCAGTTATCACCGTGCTTCTCTTCCTCCCGACCTCCTACCAGCTCTGCTCCAGCTGTTTTCTCTTCCCAGGCAACATGTGGGCTCAGCAGTGGAACAACATCTATGACCTGATGGTACCCTACCCTGAGAAACCCAACCTCGATGTCACAAGCACCATGGTGCAGCAGGTGATGGGCTGAAGGACTCACTGGTGGCACCAGGGGGACAAAAATGGGGGGTGTTGGCCAAGGCTTGACCATAACATTGACTCCATGGGAGTGGTTTCTCATACCTGCATAGGGGACAGCAGAAAAGCCATGTCTGGGAAGGGAAGGGACAAAGAAATGATCCCACTCCCTCTCTGGCAATAACCAAAGAGGCAGCGGATGGGCAAAGAGGAAAGACAGTGTGGTGGGACTAGTGCCAGTCCCCGGGCTGGGGGCGGCGTCCACACCATCACACAGTTCCGAGTGCTCCTGGGGCATCAGCCTTGCTCCCTTCTCCTGTCCACGCTGGGCACCAGCACCATTGCTCAGTGCTTCTTAGGGATGCTCACACCAATTCTGGGGCCAGGGCTCCCCATCAGGGTGAGAGGGGCAGGACCCCAGTCCCTTAGAGGGACCCACCTCATCCCCATGGTACTGGGTGAGCATCAGAGGCAACGCCCAGGGCATGTGCAGCCCCTTCCTCAGCTGTAACCCACTGCCTGCTGCCCACCAGGGCTGGAATGCCACCCACATGTTCCGGGTCTCGGAGGAGTTCTTCACCTCCCTGCGGCTGCTGGAGATGCCCCCTGAATTCTGGGAGAAGTCCATGCTGGAGAAGCCAACGGATGAGCGGGAGGTGGTGTGTCACGCCTCAGCCTGGGACTTCTACAACCGCAAGGACTTCAGGTGTGTGGGGGCATGCAGGGGCCCAGGGCTACAGGGTAAGACCCTCCTCCCCCCCCC